CCACCAAGCCCAGGTGTTCTGTGAGCTGTAGGCAAGAGAGCAGGGGTGGTTTCTGCAGATGACCCAGCCCAGAACTGTACTTGAAGGCCTGCAAGAGCCAGCAGTACCTGCTTTCACCGTTGAATCCTATGGGGAGAATTTGCAGCTGCCTCTTGAGCCCACATGAAACGCATCCAGATTCCTGTGAAATGAAGAATGTAAATGGGGAGAGGAAAAGCAGAAACTCTTCGGTATAGTCTCAGTTTATTGCTGGTTGAGCTAGCAAATGGTTGCCAGAAGCCTCATGGCTTTATTTGTTTTCTAGGTGCTGAATACTCAGCACCACAAATTTAGGGCCAGTAAAAGCCATGATGGCAAAAATAAGCATGGAAAATGGCAACCTTTTTTCTACAGGCTTGAACTGGAGAACTGGTTTTGAGCCCTACAGTGTTTAATACTTGTACTACTGCCCCAGGCACTGGGGTTCAGGGGTCGTGTCTGATCCAGACTTTTTATCCCCCTTCCTCTGCATCATTCCTCAGCTAAGCAAGGATGCTCAGTCTGAAGGGGTACCTCCGCTCTGCTCCATTCTGAACCTGGAATCGGGGACCCCCAAGCGCTGTGTGTTTTCCCGGGTGTGGGTTTAGCACTAATCTTTACATTTTCTGACTAACAAACGTGATCTTTCTCTTGTTCCTCCCCATGGCACATCCTAAATCCCCGCAGGTAAATCGCATCCGAACAAGAGACTTTGACTGCTGTCTGGCCGTTCCCTTGATTTCGGAGGCTGGAGATAAGCTGGACCTGGTGATTAGCCGAAACCCCTTGGCACTGGCTGCCAACGCTCCCTCGGAGGGGAACAGAGAGCTGCCGGTGCAGGTGTCCCTCGGAGCCGAGGTCAAGGCGAGTGTCCAGACGCTCTGAGCAGTGGGAGCAGAGCAGACGATGCCCAGGGCCTCTGCTGAGCCATTGTGGTATTTGGGGTGTTTCTCCTGTTTTTTGCACTGGTATTTGTAAATGCTGTGTGTACCATAACCTGCAAGTGGGGAGGTGGGTCTTCAGTGAGCCTGTGGACCGCCAAATATTGCTGGGAAGGTCAGAGCTGGATGTGCATCTGGGGGCTGTGGCAGCGATGGCAATGGGACGAGCTGCCGACGGGAGGAAGGAGCATCCACAGCCATCTCCCATGGCAGATCATCCCCCTGTGCCCCGGCCATTGCGTGTGCAGGGTCCTGCCTCTGACATCCTCCTCGCCCTGAAGGCCTTGGCCATCCTATAAACACACATGGTGCTATTATGTTCCTTGTTTGCTCACTTAATTGCATACAGCAGGACTGAAATGCCTTTCCTTTTATGTTGTGCCCATCTCCATCCTTCCAACACTCCTGACAAACCAAGTCCTGCAGCCCCTTGCACTCCCGGTGCAGGGCAGTGGAGAGCGCTGGCTAAAAGACATTTCAAAATGTGCTGGAGAGTGGCTAGATTCAATTCTTGTTCAAAAATTGGTATTTGCAGCTGCCTCCTGACAGCCCTGTCCACACTCCCCCAGGCCTGGCTCGCCCCACTGTGGGATGAGGCACTTTGTCTTGGCATGGATTCCCATGAACAATGCGGTCACCTGTACTGCAGTACTTAATACAGACTAGAGGCTGTACCCAAGGGTAAAAGCCTTGAGTACCTGCTCAAATCCCCAGCCACATTGTTTGTCTGAGCTTTATGGAGATCTCTTGCTTGCAAACCTGGCCTGTGCCTGCAAGTAAATAGCAGAATAGCGAAATTCCCAGAGCTGCCCCTGATGTTTTGAATTAATGAAACCTTGTTGTCTCCCATCAGGCAGTGGCATGACAAGCCCTTTGTTAGGTGGAGGTTGTGTCCCTGTGTCCCATGGGAGCTGGGCAGTGTGTGTTTGCCTGTTGCTGGCCTCATGTAGCTTTGCAAGTGTGATGCTCCCCTCCCTCCCCAGAGCCCCGCCTGGAAGAGGGGCTGTGATGTTTGCATTGGTGCCCTCATCTGCCTGCCATGTTCCACCTATTAGCACTTTATGATGATGTTTGTGTCCTGGTGGTGGCGTGATCCTGGCATCGCTTTCCCCGGGAAGGCTGGGGCACAGTGGAGTGGAGGAGCCTGTCAGTCGGACACTGCAGCCCCGAGCCCACTGCGCCCGTTCCCTGATCACCCTTTTGGCTCCTCCATCCCCACCTCAAGGGGTGCCCATAGGTTGTTGGGTGGGTGTACAGCACATGTGTGTCGCTTTGCTGAGCCAGGACTTCTCCCCCCACTGTCTGTCCCTGACATCCCTCTGTGATAGCACAACGTATCAGGGTGTTTCTTCCAGACACGTGCCCGGCCCCATCCAGCTATTTGTCGTCGTAGCCATTTTCTCTTTGAGTATGCAATATCCCATACCATTGCTGCCACACCTAGATAATGTGCCATAATTGATACTGTGGAGCATTGACAGTGCAGCCGAAAGTGTTTTTATATGCAATATTCTGAGCAGTGGAAGCTCACAGGGGCTTCTCATAGGTTTTTAATGAAGACTTTTATTAAAGGCTTTAAAAAAAAAAAAAAAGGAGGAAGAAAAACTTGGTCCTTGTATCCCTTCCTATGCATTTTGAATGATATGAAGATGAAATGCATTACTTAAATGTGTATTTTTATCCATATATTAGAGTGTATTCCTTGTAAAGTATTTTTATATGCTAATTTTCTTATGTATCTATGAAAGCACAATATTTAAAAGTACAGCATTTCAAAGAATATTTTAGTCCTGTTTTGGACCTATTTGTAAATCTCTGTATTTAAATGGGATTGCAATGACTTTGACTTTTTTTTTTTTTAATTAAATAAAAGCAAATGAAATGCATTTGTTTTGGTTCGTGTCTCTTTCTGCTGTAGGACAATAGTGAGGCAACACTCTGCTTCCCAACAGCATTTTAACTTGCCAGAGGACCCCCACTTATGAGAGACCTTGAAGGACAAGGGGAGGACATGCAGAGGGTTTTTCTGGGAGGCCACTGTTTGTAGGGCTATCAGCGTAGGGCTGGGGTTGTCCCATGTCACCACACAGCTATGGGACTTGGGTTGCTTCCCTCCCTGTGCACATGGAGGCAATTTTGCTGTAGCTGGTAGCAGTAAGAGCTGGAGATGCACATGCACGTGCTTACAGCACTGCTTTGCAGCTTTTCCACACTGGAAATATTGTTGGGTTGAAGCTGAGCTACTTCATGACAAAACACTGATGCAGCAAAGCACATGGTTGCTGTGATGTGGTGGTGTTTGCAAAGCTGTGGTAATCTTTGGGGATGGGTTAGAAAACTGCTAGAGGACAATGTGCTGGCAGGAGATGTCCCATCTGATGCTCAGCACCCTGCAGCTCCAGTGGGGTGCCTTGGGGAGCTGTACTGTGGTAGTCAAATTACGCCACCCCTGAAACTAGACATCCAAAGAGATGACTAGGGCATGGTGCTAATAACACCAAAGTCATGGGTTTGATCCCTGCATGGGCCATTCATTTAAGAACTGGACTCTATGATCCTTGTGGGTCCCTTCCAACTCAGAATATTCTGTGATTTTGTGACTGCCATGAATCCAGAACATAGTTACTTGTGTCCCTATGTTGAGAATTTCTTTCCTATGCTATTGCAAAGGGGTTTGGGGTGCCCCTGTGCTCCCAGTGTGGGCAGTACAGGCTGGAATACTCCCTGGATAAGGCCATAGGGAATCTCTGCTCACTGGCAAGGAAAGGGTGAGCTGGGTTTGGCAACCCTTCATGGCCAAGTGGGTAATGCAGGAATTTTCGGAGACTGAGCAGGGTACGGAAATGCTCCTGGTTAGACCTGGGGAATCATTGCCACGTAAACAAGCCTTATCTGACAGATTATCTGCCATCTCTGGCTGCCCTCCTGGGGCAAAGACTTCAGAACAAGGCCCTTCACACATTTGGCACCAGGGCCTGGCCAACCAAGGCACTGGAGCGATGTCAGGTTGAACCAGTGCCCGTGCAACGTGACCCACAGGGTTTTGGTGTGTACCCGGTAAAAGGTTAACACGGTGCTGCTCCCCTGCTATGTGCCTTGGTGGGCAACATCTCCTCCTGCTGATGTCACCTTTTATCCCGTGGACCTCAGCTGATGGAAGCAGCTGCAGCCTTGGGCAGGTGACGGCTGCCCATGGCAGGTAGTTGAAACCCTTCAGGAGCACCTCGTGGCACTCAGTGGCTTTTTTTAGTTCCTTGTTTATTTATTTTAACCTGAGGCACATTGCAGTTGCTGTCTGTGCTGCTATCAGGCTGCTCAGCCCAGGCATTGCAGGTGGTGCCAATGAGAGGAGAAATCCCTGACAAAGTCTTCAATCACACCCAGCAAAATAACCAACCAAGCCAAAAATCACTAACTAAAGACAGGTGTGGGGCTGATCATGGGCATGGGGTGCTGGAGGCTCAGCAGGGATATTCAAATGCTTTGCTTTTCACAAATAGTAACCACCTACATGTTGGGGTTTTTTTCTTTCCCTACCTCAAATCAGGACTTAAGGAATGGCCTGTCCGGTTTAACCTCCATCTGTTTGACTGAAGAGGTCATCAGCGAGCTTGAAATCAGCAGTCCCATACACCAGGAAAGTAAATGTTAGGTTTTTTTTTTCTTCCTATTGTGCTTTCCTGATGTATTTGAACCCTTGTGGTAGTGGTGTCATGCATGGGCTGGGCACTGGTTGGTTAGAGGTGAGAAATGGCTTTTGCATCACTTGTTTTTCTTGGCTTTGTTTTTTACCTCTTTGATGTTCTTTGTTGTGGGTTCTTATAACCCTTTTTTTTTAAATTATTAACCTGTCCGTATCCCAACCCACGAATTTTTGCACTTTTACCCTTCTGATTCTCTCCCCATCCCCACTGGCTGAGGGAATGAGTGGCTGCGTGGGGCTGAGCTGCCAAAAACAAACCAACCACCCCAAAACAAGTAATAAGTTTAAATGAAGAACTGAGCTACTCAAACACCAAAAAAACCATCCAAGAGCATGGCTGGTTTATAAAGGAAAATTTTATTTTCAGTTATAAGGTGATTACAAACTCATCTAAAAAAGCAAAGATGACTTAAAAATATCCATATACATTTTATTTATCTAAAAAGCAAAACAGAAACTGCAAAATACAAACATTTACCATATACACAAAGGTTAGAGGGTTTTAGGATTAAATTACACTCCAGGATTTTTTTTTTTTTCAAATACAAATATTCCATTTTGGAACACACAAAAAATGTTGTAAAATGTTTTAAAAATATTTTTAACGTTTTTTTTTTTAAAAAAAGTTCAGATGACATTTTTAAGGAGGCTATTGTTGTCCTTACCTCCTTGCTGTATGTGCTACTCATCACATTACTGTAGTCACAGTTGCTAGGAGTTTAAATAACAAAAAAAAAAACACCACTTTTTTTTAGCCAAATACATCAAACAAGATGGACCACCTCTTACAATGTGAAGTCCCTGGCAACATTATCAGGTAACAATCACAACATTACACTGGAGAAAAACAACATCCTATTGAACAACAAGCACTTCAGAACAGTACTGGGATGCTGTGATGCTGAGAGACTGGTGCTGGCTTCCAGGACAGGAGCAGGTGACAAACTAACTCAACTTGCCCCCTCAGGATTTTTTTTTTATCAGCCTCTCAACATAATTTTGCCACTGTTTTTTTATTTTTTCCTTTATATATTGAAAAAAAATTTCAAATCTTTTTAACATCTCAACTGCAGAAGCAGGCAGAGTTAGAAACAGCGTGTATCGTGCTCACAGGGACTCTGATACAGGGCTGAAGCCTCCCCCCACATATGCACACACACAGAGCACCTGCACAGCTCCTTAGCAGAAATCAAGTTTCACTTTTTTTTTTTTTTTTTAGATTTTTCCCCATTATTTCTTCTGATTTCTCAAGTCAGGCCACATTTTCCCTGTGCTGCCAATGGGAAAGTGAGCAGCACCATCCCGCTGTGCACTGCAGCGCCACGGGGAACAAGCCTGCAAAAACTTGCCCCTTTCCACATGCTCTTTAATTTACTTTACTCCTAAAGCTTGAGGTAATTAAATTCTGACACTTTTACTGATTATTTCAAATTAAGACACAACAGCTGTGTCTGCTCTGACATTCAACAGTCCAGCAATACCAGCGGGGTCAGGCTCTTTTCCAGTCACAAACCCTGTCACTAAAGTTTTCCACCTTTGATGGGGATGAGTGGGGTGCTTTGTTTTCTTAATGGTTTCAAACAGCAAAATTTTGAGCCTGCCTCTTTTTTTTGGTGAAATGGTGTCTGAAGCTACTTCTGCTCCTGTTTTAGGACATGGGTAAATTGAAATCACCAATTCCCACTGACAATTGGAAAAAAAAACCCACACAAAAATGTGACTTTTTCTATTTATTTTTTTAATAGAAACAAACAAATTGAGATTTTTCTTTTTTTAACAAAGAAGCATTGTCCATATAAACATTTATTTTTTGCTGGCAGAAAAAAGCCACAATCCAGTGGAGGGTGCAGGGCTGGAGAGGGCAGTTTTCCAGCAGTGGCTGGTGCTGGTTATACTCAAGTCTTTCTTGAGCAATCTTTCCCATAGACTCAAATTGACCATTAATACCATACTAAAATTTTTGTGACCAAAATAGGGAGCTCAGGGAGCCTCTTTTGCATTAGTTCATGGGTTTCTTAAGTGTCAAGTGTCACTGAATCGACTGAATACTTTGTTTCTTAAGCTTACCTTTGATTATAAGAAATAAAACAAGCTACCAGGGTCTGACAGTTCCTGACCTTTGCTCATGCAAATATACAAATACACAACTACATGTCAATCCTAACCACAAGGCTTTGGATGCTGATTTTGGAGAAAACAAGTCCAAGGCAGCTGCTTGAACCCACACCACACCCAACCTACTATGCCAGGAGCCATGTAATGCCTACAAGGAGCCAGAAGAGCTTTCAAGTCCAACCTTAAGGCTTCCTTGGAGGGGCCATGGTCCAGGATTTTGTCATTACTTTCCTTCTTCCACCACCCTCGTTTAGGAGAGACCATTTGGACATGCTGGTAGGTTGGCTCGTTACAGGCAAGTGGTGCCTAAACCTCCTCAATCCTCATCCTGAACAGCTTGGCAAGACTTACACACATGATTTGCAGCCTAGGAATAGAAGCAATGTCCCCACTGTGTGCGTGCATATGAGGGTGGAAGATTTCATCTACTAGTCTACTTAAACACAGATTTATTTTTATTCTTTTTACTGAAAGTGAGCAACTTCCATTGAACTTCCTTGGAAATGATGTCAGGGTCATCTTTCTTCCAAGTGTACTTGAGCTGCTGAACTAACTTTTCCACTCCATTCAATGCACAGCTTATTTAACATTTTATATACATTATGCCTCCACGAGTGATCTTGCAGTGACCACAAGACGTGGAAGCTAATAATCAGTTATTCAAAAATGTTCAAATCCTTCTCCCATGGATGGAAGTTTGCCATTGATGCAAAAAGTGGGAGCTTTGAACCCAAGTGTGACAAGCACAACCTCAACGAAACTGTAAGTCTCCTTAGCAAATAAAAACAGACCAGGAGGAGACTTGGAAAAGATCTATCGAATGGAGATGTCCATGTGTCTTCAGATGTACTTGACTTATCTAACGCTGAGACAAAGAAGAGGAACCAGGAGCATCTGCAGCTGAGGAAGGAGGATGCACACAGGACTGAAAACAGCTGCAGAAGGTGCGGTCCTGACGGTGACATTAAAGGCTCTGCTGATGGTTGCTGGGTTGGTTTTTTGGGGTTTTTTTGGTGTTACAACAACTGTAAGGCTGCACTTTTTTTTTATTTTCCTCATTTCCTCCTCTCCCCAAGAATAGCAGCGAAAATCAGTTTTGCTGAGCTGTTCCAGCAGACTATTCCTAACTCCCCTCCAGCCCCTAATTCCAGGAGCTGTGGTGCTGCTGTAGGGTGACCACCAGCGCTGTTCTAGATGGCAAATACAGCTGACAGACTTTTGTATTTTCATTTACAACACAGGAAAAAATCCATTGTGGACCTACTGTCTCAAACTTTAAAAGAGGACTTTTCTAAGTGTGCGGATCTGTTTGGACCAGATGAAAAGGAAAGCTATGGATGAGAAGGAAAATTAGAATAATAACAACAACAACAACAATAAAACCCAGTTCTATTTATGAAATCATACTGTTTAAATACTGAGATACAGACTACTGGTAAAGTCCCTTACAATAGATGCTCATTCAGTGAGATCATCACTAGTGACAGGTGAACTGAAAAGGTCTGGAAAATTGGAAAAAATAAGAAACAGATCAGAAAATCTCATGGGGAAAATGTTCCCCTTTACATTTCTACTATTTCTTGATTACAGTTCAGCTCGAAATAAATACTGCTGAAATTCTGCTGTTTTCAAGCCCAGAAGAACCCATGAATACAAAGGTACATGAAATATGAAAAGGTGTGCGTTTTGTCTTGGTTTATTCTGGCTTTAATCTCAGGGAGCTGGTTCTAAAGATCTCACGCCAAAACTACACTAAGTTTTCCCTGGATCCAAACCAGTTCATCTATGACTAGTCATGATACTTTATAATATAGAGTTCCTCATTTACACAAAACAGGTAAAATAGGTCACAGGAGTTTAAACAAGTAAATATATGAAAAAAATCAGTTGTCTTTGCAGTCAAAATAGGTAGAAAACACAAACTTTTTTAAAAAAATTATTTTTTAATAAATTTGGCAGAGGATCATGTTGAAATGCAAATTTATCACCAAGAAAAGTTTAGAAACCTGATAAAATTGTTAGGAAAAACCCCCAAACTATAAAAATGCAAATGTTCTCACTGGAACTCAAACCTCAGATAAAACAAGAGGAATTAAGTATATATATATTTTTTTTTTTCAGGGAAGAGAGAGAGGAAAGAAAAACTGTTTTCCAGAAACAATAATTTCTTGGCTCTTGGTGAGTCCCAGACCTCCCTTGCAGTTGTGCTGAGGAGCACAGCAGGGCCAGAGAAGCTGACACAGAGAACACTTCAATGAGGTTGTTGCATATGTGCGAGACATTTTCACTTGGAACATGGAAGCGACTGATTTGAATGGCACAGTTTGTATCGAAATGGGGCTGGGTTCTAGTTCTCTAGTAGTTGTATATTTAAAGGTGTAGTATTAGCCCTCTGGTTCTTCACACAAACACACTCTTCCCAACATGGGAGATGTTTAAATACCCAGCTGACTTGCTGGAGATATCTTTGATGTAGCCAAACCATTTTTCCCCCTAACTAAAGCTTGTCTCACCTCTACAGCACAACAGTGATGTGCAAACTATATAATCTCAAACACAGTTGCATGACAATGTATATATATATATATATAATTATATATATATATATATATATATATATATATATATATAAAAAGAAATAAACATCAGTGTTTCGTCTGCGCTCACAAAAACCATTAATTTAGATCCCCCTAACCTGCTACTCCCTCTTCACCCGTGCCTGTTTGCTGCAGACACTAATTGTAACTCAAAAATGAGAGTCCAAGCTGAAGCCCACTAAGACAATTATCTTTGATTACACTTCCTTGCCTTTGATTGTTAAAGGCTATTAAAAAAAAAAAAAAAAGCTGTATGCATGTTTCTTTATTTTGGGCACATTTGATGACACCCTGTGGCTCTGAGAATTCCTCCTGTGACCTTCGATGGCTGTTGCCACTTGCTCAGGAAGTGTCATTAGATGTTTGCCATCTCCAGCTGTGGAAAAGTTTCATTTAGAGCTCTCATAATACAGCAACCAGAAAAAGAAAACAAAAGTAACTCTGCGGTGGCTGTTTTTGTTGCTGCCACTCAGCTATCTGATGTAAAAATATATACAAATTCCAACTAGAAAGATTTTGAAAGTTATAGATGCAGTCACTTTTTTCTTTCTTTAATAATTATTTTGGTCCATCTCTTAGTTTTAAATCACCCCTTTTCTCTTACAGGAAAACCAACAAGTTAACAAGTGTTTGTGCTGCTGTGGCCAGTTAGCCCATGGGACAAGAAAAAATAAAATAAAACTACTGTGTAGGAATGTTAAGAACTGGTTATGTTCCTGTTTAGATAAATTACGAACTCTGCCCTGACAGACTAAGCTGACAGCAGAATAAGCAGATACAAACTCTGCTTTTATCAAGCATTTCTTCTAAATACCTTTGGATAGCCTAACTGTGGTACATAAGAAAAAACTCTCTTCCTCTAATACAATGCCCACAAGAAAAGGCCAAGTTTCGCCAGAGAACTTGTTCCCAGCACAACCTGCTCAAGTTTTAAAAAAAAAGAAAAGGCTTTTGTCCATGTTTTGGACAGTCTTCAGGGATCCAATTCCCCATGGAAACATTCACCTGGACCACACGAAGTAGACTCCCCATTCCTACACTCTTTGTAGTGGTTTCTCTTCACTCCCCTGTCTCACCTGGAATGGTACCCAATTCCTACTATCAATATAAAATATTTCAGTGTTACATGTTCCCTTTAATTTAAATTCCAAAAAGCCCTGTTTCTTCAGCATAGAAGATCCATAAATATGTCTTCCATCCTCCTTCCCCCCTAAAACTCAACTCAAATCAAATCAAACCACGGTTTAACCCAATGATGAGCAAGGAGACCAGGGGCTCTAGGTCCACTACTGCTATTAAGTAACATGGGACAAGGGACAGAGTCCTCTTGTCTGTTCCTCCAACAGCAATGACTGACACCCCCCTGTCCCCCCAAAAATACATAGGTAAAGCAAATCCTGGTTACCAAACTTGGAAAAGCATTTTTGAGATACACGGATGAAAAGCACCTGTTTCCTGTGTGATATTATTATCATCATTACTATTATTATTGTGTATATTATGTATAATGTGTCTGTTATCAATACCGGTTCACCAGGTGAGTGGTTTTGTTTCTCCTGTCATAGATGACCTGGTTTGTGTTCACTCCTGAATGGTCAGAGTCCAGAAATTATTCTTTTATTTTTCTGCCCCAAACCAAAATCCAAACGAGGAAGTGAACACCTGAAGCACCCAGAGGGCAGGTGCTGCTTTTCCTCTCTCGGTTCCTTAGTGCTCATCCCACTGCCATGGGGGCAGGCTGCCATCCCAGTTTGCAGAATTCAAGTTTACACCAGTGTCACTGCATCAAAATATGCTTTTCTGGAAAACTCAGGAGCAAGTACTCAACCTCCCTGCCCATGCACAAACAGCAGGCATTTCACTCAGATAAAAAAAAAAATAATTCTAAAAAATAATAAAAAAACCCCTGAAAACCATGCCAAATCCTGCAAATGCCTTCCTCAAGTCCTCCTCCATCAGCGTGACAGGCTCCCAATGCCATCCTTGGGAGGGATGGCCACAAGGCTTTTCACACCCAGATTCTCTTGCAAACTCTCTGCTCCAGCTGTTTGGCCATACCCTTATTCAGGGACTGTGCTAAACAAAACCCGCTCCCTAAAGTGACCCTGATGCCTGTCATTTACCACAATTGAACCAGAGGGTGGAAATACTACACCTTTGAAAATTCTCTTGAAACAGCATTTTTTTTACAAATTGTATCTCTCAACAGAGCTCCTTTTGTGTGTTCTGTAGGTTACCCTGCTCCCAACCATACCAGCACCTAAAATTGCTTTCTGAGACTTGAATGTATTGCTGGTAAGACAATCAATTCAAGTGGTAAGGTGTATAATATTCAGAGATAAAGATATATATATTTAAAAAAACCCAATAATAGTAAATTCCTGTAATATGTCTAGTCTGATATGAAAGCTCTCCCTCTACAGAGAGACGTCTGCTGTGATTACCTTACAAAATATTAAAAAAAAAAAAAAAAACACACACAAAAAATAACTTTCTCTGTGAGAAATAAAAATAAATCCTAGTGCAAATATAAAGCTCTGTAAACCTGGTCCTATGAGAATCTATGGTTAGTAAACGGCAGTTAAAGCAGGTTTATCCTCTCACAGAGAGAGCTCACATCATGGTTTCCACAATGATATGAGTTGGCTTGATCAATCCGCCATTCGAAGTTCCATTGGGGCAGAAGGGGGTGCCACTCTCCGTTTCTTTGGACCACCGATTCACTTCCTTGGGGGCAGCCACCGCCTTTATCCTCTGAAAGAAAGAAGGAAAGCAGAGGTGAGACGACCAGCAGGCCTCTGAGTCTCCACGTGCAGGACGGAGGATGCGGCGACCCAAGGGCACTGCTGGAGCCGTGCGTGCACCCCACGGCTCTGCAAGGACACGGGGATCTGTGGAGCCCTGCCTTCAACTTCTGCTCAGCTGCAGAGCCTGACTTGACACAGGGAAGACAGACAGGAGAGGATATTCCTATGGATATGTTATCCAGCATCCTGCACACTGGGCTTTCAGTGCCGCTGCTGCTGCTCAAATGACGTGTGATCTCCTTCCTCATTTAGAAACAGCTCTGCCCCTCAGCCCAGCCTTCACTGCCAAGTGGCAACTTCTCTCCTACATCTCAGTTCACAAAGGAAGAACTAAATGGCATCTGACCAATGTTTACTCTTCTTTCCTTTCCTAACATAGTCTTTGAGCAGTGTTTTGGCTACTTTTACACTTGTCTCTCACGGTGACAATGGTGACAATGTAGGCAAGAAAATTAACACTTATGCCCTGGCCACAGCTGAAAAAGACCATTAACACTAGGATGAAAACAAATGCAAGTGTTTGTGCTCTGGGAAATGTTTGGTTTTGGCATTTTTTTTTATTCTATTATCTCTTTTTAAATAACCCAAAGTGTTCCACTTTCTCCTCCAAGAATACCCTGGGCTGCATTTAAGATCATCTCATTAGGCAAAAACAAAACTAATCTCAAAATTTAGAAGAGAATTGCTAAGTTGCACAGTCTCTAAAAACTTTAAACTGGAATAAAAGCAAATTAGGGGAACCTGCACTGAACTGCAAAGGGCAAGAGGCCACCTGCAAATCCAAACCCAAGGGAATCTGCACTGTTAAGTCTGAATCAGACTCAGTTTTCCAAAGATCAGGGCAATCTGGATCCAGTGTTTCAATTTGAAATAAAACAACGACAAATTAAAAAAGCTAAAAAGTGAAGTCCACTGGCAGGAGGCTTTGACTTCTATTTAGTCCCCCACAGGGAAGGCCACGCCTGAGAGCCACGCTATCCCCAGGTGTACCCAAATTTCCCTGAAATTCACTGAGCTTTTACACAACCAGGTTTGACCCAGGTCTCTCTCTCTCTTTCTCTTGCTTTCTCTGTGATTTTCAGCATGGTGCTTCCACGTCCCTGTGGGCTGGAGAAGAGAGACCTGATACTCAGAAACACCCCAGTCCTTGAGTGTTTGTCTGCACATGGAGGTAATAATTTGCCAAGCTGGCAACTGCACAAGTGGGACACGAGTAAAATCACTTGATGTTTGTCTGAGGACAGAAGGCTTTGTGTCTGTTCTGTTTTTACTGTTTGCTGAAAGGACAGGTGATCTTTAACAGTCCTACCTGGACAAGGTGGCAGTTTTCCAAACATTATTTTGTATAAAACACAGCAAGTTAAAGCTCCCTTTCTCCTCTACACAAACAACTGGTTGCTCTTACCTCAATGAGCGACCCATCTGACTGAATGATGCGGATGACCATCACCATAGGGATGCAGATCATGGAGGAAAGGGCAAGAACCCAGCCCAGGCCAATTGCCCAGTCTGGGTATGTGTAGACCTTGTTGTAGGTCAGTGGTTTGTACTTGGCCAAAGAAAAGATAAAGCACCCCTGTGGATGAGAAGGGAAAACAAAGTGAGGCTCAAATAATAACAAAAGTAGTGGGGCTCTGGTGCTACCACTGGCCCTGAGGAAGACAGACAGTGAAAGGCAGAGCTGATGGATATCCTATGTATTTTAAACCAATGTGGGAATTATTCTTCCATTTAAATAATTAAAAGAGCATCTGCATCTGCTTATAGCATCTGCTGCTTGAAACAGTGTTAAGAGATGGTGCTGAACAGCTGCAGTAGGCTGCCTGTTTTTATTCAGGGCTCAACTATTTGCTGTACATTGCAAGGAGATTACCAGGATGTTCTTCCCACCCAGTGAAATACTTCATGCTGAGATCTGCCTCAGACTGCTCAAGTCTTTCTGTTACAACAGCTCAGCAGTTCTGTGTCTGCTCTTTGGAAAGTGAGTTTTCTCTTCATGATCGTAGCATTTTGCCAATCCTAGTGCAAAAATACACTGAAATGTAACCAACTGCAATCTGCACAGGCACAGCAGAGAGCTGTCACGTTAGCTGCTGACGTCTGAGAACATAATGACTTAGAGGGGAATGTTCAAGCCTCCAGATTCTCTTCGCAAATTGGCCTCTGAATGCAACAGCTTTCTCTTGAAGAGTAGCAGTAAGAGGCAGCTCAGCACTGCCATGTGTAAAACTTGAAAGAGCACAGGTCAGTACTCACCACGCAAAGAACTGGTGTGATCACAATCCAGCTCCATTTCATCCAGGGACCAGGTCTGTATCCAATCATATCCTCAATGGCATCATAAATATTATCAGCGCCTGTAAGAATCGAACATATAAAAGCCCTCTAAGAACTGTAGGATTAAAGCTGCTTTCCTAGGCCTCAAAGGGGCATTTAAAGGGAAGATGAGGGTGTCAGATGTATTCTTCAAATGCTTCCCACAGCTGTGAAGTCCTACATGATTTTCTAGAGAAGCCAAGGGTTGAGGGACTCTCTCATCCCACCCCTCCTGTCACTACTCGGATGCAGGAGTGCCCCCTTCACACACCCTCTCCTCTCTCCAGACTCTCACTGGACTTGCCAGACAGATCACCTGGGAAGGAGATGACAGCAAACAGCACACCCTGCTTCCACAGGAGTCTGACTGGTGTGAAATTATGGCTTTGTTTGTTTTGCTTTTCTAAGGAGATGGAGCACATAAAGAATCAGAGAAATGACTAGTCCTGACCAGCAAACATCTGATCCCTCCCCAGCTCAGGCAGCTACAGAGGCTACTGTCAGACCTTGGTACTTGGCACTGCCTAAAAATAATGGGGCAGAATACACTCTTCTGTCAGCTCCCTTTTTGTACTTTCTGTTAAGTTGGCTTGGCCCTGTGGACGCTGCAGCCCTGAAAGGAAATTCTCTGAGAGACAAAGAGGAATTTTCATGGCTGGCCAAACTTTCAACTCTCACCTCTAAACTTAACACGTAAATGCTTAATTGTGCCTTTATTAATTAGCAATGGAAAAATACTAATTTTTTTGTGGAAAAACACTGGAGGTTGGCTTCATCCCAGATGCAAATTTGTCTCCAAGAGGTCAGGGCAAATTTATTTTAATGGCAAGTGTCTGTTGCTGGGAAGAAGATTCTGGGGTGGCTGATGATTAAATATTTGGCAAGCAAAATTGTCACTGACTCATCAAAAGGTATCAGAAGAAAGGAGTCTCACTTACCATAAACCCAGGCTACAGCAATACATTCAAAGAATGCAACCCACAAAAGGCATACACCACTAGCTGCATAGTAGTCAAAGAGTTGAAAAACATACATGCCACCCTGTAAAAGAGAGACACAACTGATTGGGATGCAACAGGAAAAACCCACATATTTCAGACCCAGCTCCCAGCAACATCTATCAACCTATCTCAATGACTGCTGTCTAACAAGAAGCAGTATCAAGCAAGTATGTAAGGTAAATATTTGGCATTGCCTTCCCCAGGGAATATGCATGTTTACTACAGGAAGAATTCCAAACAAGACAACGATAAACAAAATTAAACCACTTAGTATAATCTACTGACACACTTAAATCTTTCCTTCTCAAAAGCATTTTAGGATGGGCATTTAAAGAAACCAAAGATACAAAGAAATAATAGGTCGTCTCCTAATACTAACACCTCCAAAAGACTGAAAATGGAAGCCAGTTCATCAGGAGGGCTTTCATTTACTAATTGAGTGAAAGGACTTTTTTCATGAGAATAATTCATTTTCTGCTTTCTAACTCTCTCTTTATTTATACTGTGCTGCTAGACTCTTTGCTCTCACTACACTGAACTATATATACCTGCACTTCCACATCAAAACCCATGTTTGTTAGGCACCTCTGTTACAGGTGCTATTTTACCTCTCACATTTGTGCTCTTCCAGTTGTTTTTAAAATCTGGCTTGGATTTTATTTTGGAGATAAATATCACAACAGTGCAGGCACTGGAACATATTCCTGTCTAGTTTATACTAGAATAAACACAGTGGTATTTAATTAATTCAAATCTGTGTAACAAAGACAAAAATCTCTTTCCCTGCATACATTGGATAGATTCTTAATCTACTCTGCTGAAGGTTTCCAACATGTTTCATCATTTAGAGCTAGATGTTAATATTCGTGCTCATGTTGATTGGTACCTGAGATCAGATTGAATTTAATGAGATTTCATGTCTCTGTTCCTCTGACTAAAAAGCAGGTGTATATACAGCTCCCTTTCAAAATGCTTTCAGATCTAGGGATGAAAGATGCTCTGTAGATCTAAAAAGCACTGCTCCTCTGAGTGGTTAAATAGCTAAAACTGGCCTGAAAAATGGCTAGCAAAGAAGGCAATTTCCAGCACTGGTGGTACTTACCTCAGTCACCATAGTTAGTCCCAGAAGATAGCTAAGGAAACACACTATAGCGATGAAGATTTCCCGTCGGTAACCCTTCCTTAGGAAGGATGGGTGCAGATCAACTAATGACGTGATCTGTCCTTCAACTTCAACAAACTGAAGGGGGAAAACAGCAACAGAGAAATGTGACTTGAAGAATACCCACTGTACATTTCATCCAGGCTCCTACTTGAACAAACCCTCCTCAGCAACACCCCAACTGCACTCTGTGGCAAAATGCTGCTCTGGATAAATAAATCAGAAGCCATTCCTTTGTAACCCAGAGACTGAAGCGTGGGGGTAGTTTTCAGGCTGGAACAAGCTTTCAGAATTGCTGTTTATTTCCCAGCAGCCTTATAAGCTACCAAAGGGGCTTTGTAAATGCGAGCCACAAGGATAAAGGAGGTTAATTTGATGACAGGAAGGCACTTATGTGGCTTTCATGTTGTCACTGTTCCAGATGAATATAAGATGTATGCTAGAAAAGATGCAGAGAGAAAACACTTAAGAAAGTCCAAGCTAGAAGAGTACCTCCCAGCCTTTTTTTGATGCGCCAGAAAACCTCACAGACACTAGTTAGGTTAATTCCACAATTTGATATAATTCTACTCTTGGGTTTGTTAGTGAAAATCCAGCCAAGGAAAGGCAGACTTTGACGTGAAATAGCAGCTCTTCTTGGCTGAACGTGTCTTTTCTGGATCTGTGAGCAGAGTATCTCTGAGTGAGGCTCTGGTCACTTTTGCAAAAATAATGGAGCTGTTCATACAGTCCCCATAAAATGATTTGGCAAAGTATTTGCACATGTAAACCAAAAATGAAGTTCTGAGTAGATGAACTAAAAATCTTTATCTAGCTTCACAATATCTGTATTTGTACTTGTTTGCCTTTGGAAAACTATACATTTAAGATGTGTAACTTCAGTTAGCCAAATAACCCAAACTGGATTTAAATAAAAGTTTAAATTAATCAAAAAGCAGATGCATTTTGCCCATGGCAGAAAGCAACTACTGAATTTCCCCCAAATAAAACCAAAGACGGGATCTTTAAACTGATCCATACTTTCAATCTGGGAAGGCTGAAGAAACACAAAGCTCACTGAAGACACCTCTGCCTCTGTAGAAATGATCTTCACTTTAAGTAGATATATCTTCTTATAACTAATAACTTATCACATTATTATTAATAGATTAATCTATGACATAGATTATTTCAGGAAAAGCTGCCTTTTCCTGCCTGGTACCTCTATCACTCTTACAGTGCCCAAAAGAGCCCTTTAACAACTCTACCCTCTTTGATCACAAACTGAAGCTCTATTTTGGAAATACAGACTGTCCTGCAAACAGATTTTGTCCTACACCAGATTTTGTTGCCTCCTGTCTTGTTACTTTGACTTTTGTAAAACTAGTTTTCTTTTCTAATGTAACCCTTTCCTTTGGGCTGATTTGATCTAAAACTGCTCTGGCATTCCAGAAACCTGCTTGACTGCACTCCAAAAAACCAGAGGGGTGGAGGAGAGAAATTAAGCGCTCCAATTAGTTTTAATCATTCCACGCAGTGAGGAGCTTTTTAAAATTACTAGACAGCTTCCAATTTGCATAAGCATAGGGTTGCTGAACCACGGCATTGGGCACTTTCACATTTACTTTGGAGCGACAGAGTTCAAAGATTAAGCCATAAAGAGCAATTTAGGGCAAATGAAATATAAAAAAAATGTAAGAGATTAAGTACACGACAACCGGTAAAAATCCATTTACAGAGCTCTCCTCATATGAGAGAGCATTTAGGCTACATAAACATTTCATCCTTACAAATCCCTTTTTTTAAAAAAATGTTAATGACTTTCCATTTCAGTGCAGAAAAGTTTGAATTTTCAATATGCAGTTACTGCATAATCCCTGGTCACCCATGTTTCCTTGTAAGTGGACTATCTAGAGATGATTTACAGGTTCCTTGGCAGCACTTAGTCCAACATTCCTACAAGCAACCACTGGGAAAAATAACCTAACTTCTTGGACTGAACATTTTGATTTTTTCATGCTCACTGATTAATAGCAGTGTGTGCTTTCAAATTAGTACAAATGGAATATGAGATGCTTTCTGGCCTGTTTGGAGGTACTAAATACACACTGGTGACGTGAAAGTCAGCAGGATCCCACATTCCTCAGCACCTCCAAGCCCAAGGCCACCGAAAAAGGCTGTGGCTTTTTCTCTGACTGCTCATGAAGTCACCCTGTACAAAACATTTTGTGCTTTCTGTATCTCATGACAGCTTCACTTTTTTGGCACTTGGCAACTATCAAATCCTGTCTTTCTAGTGGTTATTAATTCTTAAGGTGCTTTACTGATGGTGTATACACACTGCAGGTAATCACAACAGCACAAAGTACTCTGTGGAACTGACTGCTGTAGACTTGCACGTTTTAAAATGATTAAGCTTTTCTTCAAAAGAAGAAAATACTGCACTGCAACTAAAATAGTGGTATTTTGTGGCCAGATGGGGACTGAAATTTAGGTTTAGGGAGTACTGGCCTAGTCTTGTGGACTCCGCTAACTCCTGATGAGAAAGACTTACTGAGCAACACCATCTTATGAATCAACATCCACAGATTCATCAAGTGCAGCCCCTCACTAAAAACCAGTACAGACAAATTCCTCTTAATTAATGCCTTAACTCAGCTTTTCTCAGTCAGCAGTGACAATACAATAAGCCACATATCCCTTACCCATCATACTAACCTGGCTATCCAGTCCAAGCAACAGAAGCATAATAAAAAAAAGGATTGCCCAAAAGGTGGGCAGTGGCATCATGGACACAGCTTTTGGATAGGCAATGAAGGCCAGGCCTGGACCTAGAGAAAGAGAAAATAGGGAAGGGGAAAGGGAAGGGAAGAGAAATAGTAAGTACCAGCTCTTTGGCAAAGGTAGCCACCCTCACATTCAGGAATGCCTGGTTCCGTTCAGATAAATCCAAACGCAGCTGGAAATACCAGAAGTGAAACAGTTTGGCTGTTTTATCTGAAATCGAAGCACGCATGACTACAGCAGAAACCACAGGCAAACCCCCGAGGCCATTGCTAACAGATCACCAGTTTTAACATCTGTCTCAAACATGCCAATAATGGAGGTGGTCTACATCTGCCCTGCACAGGACAGTGTTGGGGGCAGGGGAGAGAAGGGGTGACCCAAGGGAATGGCAGAATCCCACTGCTAGCCCACATGGTCATGATGAAGATGATGGTGATGAAACTCTTTTGCATGCAGGGAAGGGGACTCTGCTGCAAACATTCCCCGGGATCTTCACTAATGCAACCGCTGCCTACTCTCTGTATGCAACCTCCAAACCCAGCATGGTTTTCTAAAGCAGGGTTTGCACTCCAGGAGTTTGCTCCTTTGCTTCTGCAAACCCTCACTGCTGCACTGATTAGGCTACTCCTAATTATATCAACTGGGGCTCCTGAAAAAATGCTTCCTGCTGTTGGGAACTGCTGGGGTGTAAAATCACTCTGTATAAAATTGCTTCCCCATGTTGTCACATCATCTGCCCCTATCCAGCCAGCCTACACGGTCCTGCCACGGTGACACTGAGTATGACCAACACCAGCCCCAGCTGCAGGATGGATTCTAGCAGTCTTGGAGCACCAGTGGGGCTGGGACTAAGTGCTGGGCTTCTCTGCTCTGGAAAACAAAGCATTGTGTGCCAGGGCTCCTCTCTAGGCTGGGTCTGGTCTGTGCTCTGCACCAGACGGGATCTCACTCACACCCACACACGGAGCTCTCGCACGCTCATCTCCAGAGGCACTCCCACCTGGAGCCAGGTGCTGTTGCTTATGGGAGCTTTTGTGAAGAGGGAGAAGGCCCTCCACAAGTGGGAGACAGGAACACTGGCAGCCTGGCATTTACAGCAGGCTCTCAGAGGGGACGGAGAAATTTGGTGAGGCTGACAAAAAATTCTGAGGGCAGATTTAAATTCAGATTAAACCCAGGAATGCCTGGCTTGTCTGCTTGTTTACTTTAAGGAGCCTTCAAAATCCTGGAAAATGCCAGTTATCAAGTGTACTCATGTCATTTTCAATGGAAAAGGGATTTTTTTTTTTTGAACTGCTGCATTGCAGGGCCAAAAAAATCTTATCTCTGATCTGTAAAAAAAAAAAAAAAATTGCTAACGCTGCTCTTCCTAACTCCCACTTTTCCTTTCCAACAAGAAAGACAGAAAAAGAAGCAAGAGAAAGAGGTAAAAAAAGATGACTTTTTTTTCAAACTAAAGAAAACTTTAAGTCACTGAAAATATTTGAACAGAAATAAATACAAATTAGCCAACAATCAAGCAACTAATTTTATTTAAAATGAAACGCAACTAAGATTTTATACGACAGAAGATACCAAAAAATTGGTGAATGTCTCAAATTTTGGGGGGCTTTGCTTTTTTCCCCCTTAACTCAGTGGATACAGCAGATCTTCCCTGAGGGAGAACTGCTACCAGATGGCATTTGCAGCTGATCTGTGCAATTGATGAGACAGATGTAAAACTGCTCTCCTCAAAACTTGCTCAATTCTGTATGCTTTGGCCAGTGAAACTGTTCTTGCACTGTGATACCAACTAATACAAAGTGCCCTAAGCCCTGTCTAGTTTTGATTTTCCTTTGAAACTAAGTGTTGAAGTATAAAAAGAAAAGTCCATGTGAAAGAAAATGTTCCTGGCAACCCTTCAACTGAAACATAAATAATCTAAAAATTGTATTTAATTTGAAACTCTGTTCTTTGGAAGGGTGTTTTGCAAAAGTGAAGCACTTGTGGCTGCTATTAAAAGCTGGTGAGGACTGCCACGATCCCAGCCCACACCCTGGCCCTTTGCCATGGAGTGCTGTGGCATGGCTGGAGAGCTGCAGAGGCAGAGACCAGGCAGGCATCAGGAAAGCCAAGGCACTATAGTCAGACCTGTTTAATCTGAATTTGTTTGCAAATGGAATTTAAAAAAAGAAAAAAAAAAGCAAATTTTTTTGCTGGTTTAACCCTGCTACAAATAGCATGGGTGGTAGAGTATTTCTTCCAGCCAAAGAGAGGCTGCACAGATTAGACAGGACTCACTATGATTTTGTTGAGCCTCCACTGCTTTCCTTTCTCACCTTAAAATAATTTCAGAAAAAAAAAGAAAAAAGCTATTCATTAAAAATCTTTTTTCACGGAGAAGCCAGAGGAGTCTAAGTTAACTGTTGTGTAAACCCACTAAAGGCAGTGAAGGCCAGCAGTGACCAGTGCTTTCAGCAGGAGCCAGACCTGGCTGACAAGTGTGTCCCTGGGACACGGCACCAAGGCTGAACTTGGCAGCAGTAAAAAATGTGGCCATGAGATTCTGCTGTCAGCAAATTTGTTGATGTTCCCGTGGCTTGCAGGAGGGCAAACAAGGAAACAAGTGGTGCCATGGATAGGGCAGGAGGGATTTAACTCCCTGGGGGGAGAAGGAGGTCTGTGGACACCATCCTCCCCCGAGTGCTACAGCCAAGTGGCAGTGCCTCTGCTCGCCTTTTTCCTGACCCAGGGGAGCAGTTCTGACCTTGCATCATAAGAAACCAAAAAAAGGCAAGGCCAGAAAAGACAGGCTCAAGTGCCTGCTGGATGCTTCTGAGCTAAGAAGCAGCACTGAGGTAGCAGCAGCAACAAGAGCTTCCCTCACAGCCCCATGTGGGTCCAGGGACACTCATCCCAGGGGGACCAAGTGTCTTCAGTAGCTCTGCAAGAAATCAGAAGCCAAATCTGGAAGCTAATCAGTGCCCCTGTTGTATAAAATTCCTCCTTTAAAAAAATGCTTTTTGAGCTGTTGAAAAAATGCTATGTAAACATTTTGTTAGTTAATTTGTGTTTAAATGTTTTTTTAGCAATCCAGTGTTACTATAGAATTATTTAATTTTAAAAATGTCAAGTGCTGCCACTATCAGAGATTTAATAATAAAAACTAGAATAAATATTGACCAGATAAAAACCTAATGTGCAAATACTTAAAATACTACTCTTGGAATTGATCCACCTACATACAAAAAAAAAAATAATGGGGCTATTTATGATTCATTCAATAGGATTATTCCCTTGCTTCCTGTTTCCAAACAAAGCAATCAACCTCCGATCAAAATAAGCATTAAGGCCAAGACTGTTAACTAATTGCACTTGCAAGAGGTCTGCCAATTGCAGCCACCCAAGAATCCAGCGGTGCCATCAATGTCATTAGTTTTTCATTAGCCCTTGTGAAGTATTTTTCTAAAAGACTTAACTCCCAGAGCCATGTGATTAGAAGATATATTGACTTTTTCATTTTAATAGCATGTTTGCAGAGGAAAGCTTTCAAATACTATGCATGTGAATTAAAAGTGCTCAAAAAAAAATCAGAAAGAAATGTCAAAAGTGCACTCAGGTGACATTGTTATTACTTGAATCTGATTAGGTTTAAGCCTCACGGCTGCCAAGGCCTGATTCATTATTTTTCCATGGTAATTCCCATCTAATCTGTCTGTTCTACATGAAGACACATGGTTACACCTGCCTTCATGGACAAGAAATGCACAGAGGAAAAAATATCATCTGTTTTGTTTGAAATACAGTCACATGCTATGAGGATTTGGCCTTCTTCATCTGCAGTGCATGGCTGAATGTTAATGGGAAGAACCCTTCTGAAATAAGGGAGGAACCTAAGTGTACATCCAGTTTCAAAATGGACTTCTGACAGTTCTGTCAACCTCACCCTGAAACTACAGAGGACAAATGCAGGATTGCAACAGCTGAAGTTCCTGTGGATGAAATGGTCCACAAAACCCTAGAGATGGAGTTCTCCAATTTCTCTTGCCTTTCAGTGAGACTTGGGAATACATGCCTGTATGACCCTTCAAAAGGCCAAGGTACTAATTCTACTCTAGTGCTGCAAGTAAGCAAAACTAAGCTATGAAAAATATATAAGCACTGGCAATTTGCATTGGAATGAAAATAAAGGTAGTCTGAAAAGAAGGATGGAACAAACTCTCGAGTCAGTGACATTCTGGACCCTAGATAATGGTGTAGTTAACTCTGATCTCAACTCCCATGGGTTAGCACACTCTAGGAAATGTGTTCGCTGCCCTGTTAATCAAGACAGAGTAAACAGTATAACCCCGGCTAACCCTCACTGCTCTAGATGGAAGCCCAAATCAACAACGTGCTTATTTTTTCTGGAGATTATGGGAAATCTTGTTCTATTTTATTGCTTAGATGTTAGCTGATTGAGTCTGCAGAACTTTGCTCACACGCTAGGCGGCAGTGCCCACCACCACTGCCACCAACACCATCGTACCTGACTCTGCCACATCAGCAATGTTCACCCCTTGCTCTTGTGCCATGAAGCCCAGGACGGAAAAAATTGCGAAGCCAGACACAAAACTGGTACCACTGTTCAGGCATCCCAGCAGCAAACAGTCCCTAAGTCACACATATGTCATGGAGCAAGTTAATTAAAAAAAAAATTAACCCATTGTCCCTACTTTATTTACATCATTTAGCTAAAACACTAAACCCCCTTAGATGGAAACTTGCCTATAGCAGTTGTATTTGTACTTGTTGTAGCTCCCCAGGGAAGTCATTGCTCCTAAGCAGATTGCATATGAGAAGAAGATTTGTGTCCCTGCATCTATCCAGACCTAAAGGGAAAGATGGAAATACTGTTATTACCAGCATCATTGCACTGCAACACTCCATGCAAATACACAGTTCAAACTAAGCAATATCAACAAAATAATTGCTTCCATTGAGGGTGAAAGCTACAGGATCGGGGAGACAGGGAAAGAGAACATCACATTTGCAAGTTTGGCTTTCACAGGGAAAAGAAAATTGTTAGCATCAGAGCCCAAAGGAACATAATCAATCTCTACAACAGTTCCTGTTTCCCCTCCCCAGAGATGCTCAGTATTTCTAGTTTCTTAGTCATTCAGCTGATCCTTCCTGTTGGCGCAACAATAAACGTGTTTCAGTGCAATAGGAAATGCAGAAGTATTTATAACATTGCTCATTTCTGTTGTAACTCATTTCAGTTAAGAGTAGGCTGGCAGATTCCTTAAACTGAGGATGTGAAAAGCTTGAGAAACAGGTTTGTGTATTTGGTTTGTTTATTTTTCTAGCTTTCTGGTTGTTTTTGTACCTGTTCAAATGCAAGATAAAAAGCCATAGGGGTGGGGGGAAAACAAGCAAAACACAATGCACTTTATAAGATACATATCTGATCTTGGTCTCATGATTCTTTGTCCCGATTACATTAAAAAAAAAACATATACAGAGTGAAATAACCATACACTATGAACTTCTTGGCTAGTAAATACTTAGAGAACTATCAAAATGTATCCTCTGAATCCCATCTGTTCTCCTCTTTCTGTTAATGCAAATCTGCAAACACCAGTAAAAACCACCCAGGAGTCTGAGTAAGTGAGAGTGAAGACTGAGGACCATTACCTTCTCCCTCCCACCTCTGCTTTCCAGGACCTTGCTGACTAGTGTCTCCTTGGAGTGATGTTTTTGCTAGACTGTGGGAGGGGGCCTGTCAGCTCACATCAATCTCTTCTCCATTATCAGCTGATACTCTGGTTAGGGCTAACAGTAGATCATAAAAGTGAGAGAGTCCCATAAAAGAAGATTAATTCGTAAAATACAACATCTCCTGTGAAAAAGGTGTCTTGTAAAAGAGGGCAAGACTAGAGAATGCACCTAATCTTCACAGTGTTTCTTTTCATTACCCTTTTTCTATTTCGGTTATTTAACTATCACTGGAGTTCTATTTTTACCAATTACTCAATAGAAAGAAATAGCAAAGACAGATGTTATTTCCTATCACTGCGACCAACATTTTGTTATTTTCAAAGATCCCTTGTTTTTGGTTTTTTGGAGGAGGGTATTGCTTTTTTTTTTCATTTCTCATGTGAACACTATTGGCTGAAATGATGCTGGTCTGCTCGAGTGTCCCACACTTGCACTCAGTCAGCACAGACAGGAATTTCTATCTATACAGTAAGAGTAAGCCTGGCTCCCACTAGCAAGGGGTAAGCAAATGGTAGTTCCTGTGCCTCAGAAAGCATTTTCTTCACCTTTCCATGGGTTTTCATTCTTCTATAATTCCATCCACCTCTCTCCCAATCTCCTCCTATTGAGCAGTGGGAGGTAAGTGACACTGGTACTCACAGTTGTCGCTTGTTGTTCCATCTGTGAAGTTCATGTGTCTCTCCTTTGAAACTAAAGACTATCCTCATTAAAAAAATGCATCTCCCTTACCTTACCAACAAGAAAGCTGAGATTGTATAACGGGACAGAGTCTACAGCCTCAGAGTCCTTTGACACAAAAAAAATACACACGCATACACACACATACATACACATGGAAAGATGCATTAACACATTTAACAGTGACCTTCTCAAGCAGATCTCTGGAAAATATAACCCAGCATTAGTGTTCATGCTATATTTGGACCTCTAAAGACCATGGAAAAAAGTCTACTGCCATTACATCACCACCGTCACCCTCCACCATCCCCCTTTGCGTAGGAAATTGTCCCGCTCCCTGCTCCTGGTTCTGTACCTGTGGGTCAGCTAACCGTGAGATATCAGGGTAAAGATAAAACTTGATGCCTTCTGCAGCTCCAGGCAGGGTCACGCCACGGATGAGTAGAACAAGGAGCATGATGAATGGGAAGGTGGCAGTGATGTACACTACCTGGAAATAAAGAAAAAGAAAAAAACCCCGAAAGTATGGTTAGCCTGGGGCAGCCAAAGCTACACCTCCAAAACCAAGAGAGCTCTAATGAGGAAAATTCAAAGCCCCCTCATATCTAAAAAGGACCCAACCTGAGTTTCTGCATGTACTTTTAATGTTTTTTACCACTTTACTGCCTTAGGCCTAAAGGCAACACACGAACACCTCCAGAGCCCCCCAGTCAGTGGTCATGTCACTCAGGTAGAGGACAAGCACAATTTTATACAACTCATGACTTTTGTTCACATTCTGCCTTTGCCCTGTTTGTCCTCCTCACATGACAAGTGCACCTCTGCCAGGGAAGTGAAGAGGTTTCCTCACTGAGGGTGCCTGAAACATTACCTCATTCTTTATTGGAACTTTAAAACTTACAAACCGCAACCTGTTTCGCAAGCTCTGCTGCTACCTCTGACCTTGCTGTGTGGCCCCACTACTGCTCCTACAGGCAACTTCACCAGAGATTAAGGCAATTTAGTCCATGCTCCCATGTCTCCCTTCCCATCATCTTGAACACAAGAGGCCCTTCAGGTTGGCATCAGCCTCAACAGCAGTAATTTCCAGTCCCATAACTTCATCTTGCCCTTGCTGCCTATTCAGCAACATCATTATTGGAAACTAAGGCTCTATTCATCCAGTTTGAGAATATGTCTTCATTATCTTTAACCTCTATTCCCACTCTCTTTGAATAACAGCCTACTTCTTCTCTTCTTGTTATCTCCTCATTCATTTGATGAAAGAGTCCTTTGCTTTCATCTCCAGCACGAGGGTTAATTGAGCTTGCATTTGGACAGTTCTATCTTTAGACCCACACTTTTTGACCTCTAACATTTTGCTTTCTTTGCTCATCAGTGCTTTCTCTCATTTTTTATATAACCACTGTGTTACAGTCAAGAATCACTACTGTCCAAGAAAGGACATTTTTCTTGGAGTCAAGATGATTCCCCCAGGTAATTACAGTTTGCTGCCACGAGTTAGAATGCATTTTTGTTTTCCAGAATTTGCTTAACTACTGCAAAGCTCCCGAGATGCTCCATTTTTCTTCTTAAGTGTGTCCTCTGAGAATAACAAGGAGAACTCAAAGCCTGCATTGCCATAATAATTCACAGAGCTGGACTGATTTCATAGAATGAAAGGAAATCTTTTCATACATGTCCTTTTTAATTCTATCCCTGAATTTTCTGTATATTTTCCACTGACAAAGAATATGCATTACACATTAGCCTAGTTTCACCGAAACCAGAAGATAAAAAGGGGGATTTCTGCACTTTCTGATTTTTTCTAACATAAATCAGGCCTATGAAAAGTCAAAGTTTTCTTCCAAAAATATATGCCTTGACATATTTTCAGGAATGGAGTAAACAACACTCACAGAGAGGCCTTTGCATTGTGGGTAGAGATTCTCTTGCAATGCCGCAGGAATTTTTAAGATCAAGCATTTTATCCAAAGCATAAGCACAACTATTATTTTTCACCATGATTTCATGTTTACTTGTCCAATCCTCTACTACAAGATTTAAAATCTACATCTTTCCCCCTGCCCTGCTCTCCAAAGAGCCATTAACACACTGGAAAGCAGGGAAGTGCTATAAACAACCATCTACTAAAGTAAACTTGACTTCTCAAATAATTCAAGTCCTCCATTAGAATTTACAGTTTACTTTTGTTTGACCCCAAAGTTAATGGAGTCAACCAGAGACTTTCCAATGGTTTTGTTGGGCTTTGGCTCCACACTCGCACGAGCTCAGACGCCACAGAGAGCGGGGAGTGAATTCCTACCAACTGCCTTGTTTTAGAAAAGAGACCATTTTGCAGGATTTCCAGAGAACACAGATTTTTATATAACTGATTTTAACAGACCTTTTTTCAACCTGTTATCCTCACAGGGACTGGAAGTAGTGTACCATAGGGAGCGTGGGATGTCTCTCTGTGCTACCATAACCTTTACTGAGCAGACACCAGGCTTGCCAAAGGTGCTAAAGAAATGTGTGCTTCCACTTGGCTGCTGTGGGACGTTTACTGCATTCACCTTTACTATAAAACTTACACAATCACCTCATGGGGTCACATCAATCAGAGGGAACAGAGAAGCAAACATTTTTTCCAACGTGTGCTTTAGAGGCGTGGAAGCTGTTTTTTGGGGCAAAGGTGGCAGGAATCCAGGGTAAGGCACTAGCCTTTTAAGAAGGCTTCAGGATAAAAATCACAGAAAGCAAGACATACTACAGTAAAGCAAGAAGTTTAATTAACAGTGGAACTGATAAGATCTGGTTTCCGATGGAGTTTTGTCTCCTGGTTGATTTTGCAGTATGCAACAAGCTAAAACTCTTAAATGAGGCTCTTTTTGCAGTTGGGGCACTTGCAATTTATCCTCCTGACTTCTCTAGGGACCAGTAAAAGATAAATTCACACTGTGTCCTTTTTCTCAGGAAGGGCACTAATGGGGTCAACTCCCTTCCACCTAGCTAAGAAGAAACATGGGGGAACTTGGTATCTTGAGATCCCTCTCCCTCTGTCAGACTTATCTAACACTGCCTCAAGCAACAGGTTTGAAAGCTATGAATCACACAAACACAATGGCTTCAAAAGCCTTTTCTCACGAAAATAGGTATAAAACCAAGGGGCAATAACATCATGCAAGGGCAATAACATCATGCTTCATGCTAAGTGACTGGCCAAGGTCTGCAATTTGTTTCTTCAACTGGAGCGGGATGAGGTTCAGGAATGATGTAACTGTTATCCTTTAAGGAAAACATGATTCTGAAGAGCACGCGATGGGACTAAAGCCACAGGCTATCGAGGATCTCTGTTAATGACGGTGCTTCTAAAGCAGTACCTAAGTTTAGTCTTCTGCGTCTACACACAGCTCTTCCATAAGCGAGCAGCATTTCAAAAATGCCATGCATCCAACAGCTTCCACTGACTTAGAACACCCCTACCACAGCTATGTTAACATCCCTCCCGCTGCACTGAGAATGAACTTGACTGGTGTGAGGACACAGACAGGCCAAGCAGCCTCCACCACAAGCCTAAGACCTTCCAGGTTCATGGCATGCATCAGTGGGACACTTGTCCTGTGAGAGGCAAAGTGGTACTCAAATCACATTTGTATCTGCCTCTTGATGCCATTCCAGTAATGGCTACTTGACTCACAGGCATTTTGGGCACTAGTGACGACTTTCAGATTGAAAGTTGAATCTGAATTTCCCTCTTATTCAGTACAAAAATACATATTTTTCCAGGAAATGGTGAATATCTTCAAGAACAGCATTACTTAGTATTCCTAACATCTGCTAACTGCAATGATTATAGAAAGGGTAAAAGAGGACTTACTTTCCCAGTGGATTTGACTCCTTTCCAAATGCAGAAGAAACATATCACCCAGACTAGGAGGAGACACAGTGCTAGATCCCACTTGATAATACCAATATCTTCAATTCCCGAGGACAAGCTCAGTACATTGCGCCTGAAAGGAAACAAAACAAGAGAGAGATGCAGGGGCTCAGCTTATGCAGACTCTGGTTGTGCTGGCTGAGAGCACAGGAGGGTGTGCAGGGTAGCTGATGCACAGGCAGATCTCTGACCTTGGAACACTGCTTGCTAAGTCAGTGTGGCTTATGTGAGAAAAGCTGTGCTTTGCAACCCTACATCTCCCCTATGCCTGTGGGACTCCTTTGTTCAATATATTCCACAACGTTTTAAAATTTAAGCTCTTTTTAGCAGCCTTTGACCACCTCAACATGAGATAAGAAAGTATTTGCTTCCTTGACGGTCCAAGACCACCTCAGCCCAGTGTCGCAACTCACCCCGGCCCTGAAGCCACCCAGCAGCAGAGCACACCATGTCTCCATCATGCACACTTGCAGCTGGCCTGTAGCCTCATGTTTCTCCTCCTTTTCAGTTCATTAGCAAGGCTGCCACAAGGAGGACAGGAAGAAGCAGCGCAGGGAACACTCACGCCCCGCAGCTTTGCAGGGTGAAGGCTGGAGCTATTATCTATTCTCCCCTTGGGGGCCCCCCACACAAACACTGCCTGGGTGCCACCACCTGCCCGCAGCACCCCCGACACGGGGTCTTGTTTAGCTACCACTAAATATTTGGGAAACTTTATTCTGTCACTTAGCTTAATAAATAAAAAGAAATTCCTAAGTTGTGTCTTAAGGGAACAACATCCGACCATCAAAATACTCTGGTCCTGAGGGGGAATACCCAGTTAGGCTTCTCTCTTCTGGAAATTGCCATGGCTTTTCATTAAATAGTGATTTAAAACTGTTTTTTTAAACTTGTTCTCACACACTGGACAGACATTGTTGTACTAACACTTGCTTCATTTGTCAAATACATAAGAAAGAACAAACTGTTTCTTACTGTTCATTGAGCAAAACTCCTTTGCAAATGAACCTTCTAAACTCTGAAGAATTTCTGCAAGGTGTTTTTCAGTCAAGGAGTAGTTTGACCTCAATTACAAGAAAAATGCTTTGCCCCAAGACTACAGAAGTGAATTTGCTACCTAAGAAATTGTTAATGTAGTTTTATTTTCAGGTAGCTAAAAAAATCAGGCACTTTCCTTCACCATAGTCATGGAGAGTAGAGCCCAGAACAGTCCAGCTGCTGCACCAGGGTCAGGCCCACGTGTGGTGTGCACAGCTTTGCGTGTGGATCCAGTACAAGACAAACCACTGTGGTTTGGTTTTCCTCTGAATTAAATTTTATTTTTTTTTTTTTGCTATTACCATGGAAATAATAGTAAATGAAGTCACCAATGGAAAATTTGCAATTAGTTTTTGGAAAAGCCCTGGATCGACCAGTTTAATGGGACTCAAACCCTCACCCATCTGTTTTTGCATCTCTGTTTGCCAAATTCACTTGGATTACCTGTGACTGTGTTCTCACACCAAATGCATTATTCTCTCTGAACGTATGTGTATTTTGTTATGGAAAAGGACTAATGGCACCAGACAGGGTAAGTCTGCCCTAATCAGCACAGCTATTCAACAGTTATGAGAAACCCCTTGGTAATGAATATTTGGCATAAAGTTGCAGTCCTGCTTCACCTGAACCTAAAGAAACAAAGTAAAAACCTGCTGTGCGAATACAAAAGAAGAAAATACATTTATAAGATGACAAAGTTCAGCTGCAATCTTCTGTGGCTTTTTTAAAAATAAATGGCAATTTTCCAATCGAAGTGGCAGTTCATATTAAAAAGGCAACCTATAGAGCTGGGTCTCAGGAAACTGCGAATAATTAACTGCAAATGCCTTTTGGAATAGGGAGCCCTACTAATGCATTCAGTTAAGACTTCTTTGCTTTTTATTAGGGAACTAAAAGCAAGTGGTCATTCTCTCCTAGAGTTTGCTCCAGGAATTCTTTCAAGATTTTTTGGAGGGCACCCCAGTGGGTTACTGAGAGCCAGATATCTTACTTTTCTATGGTGAGGCAGCAAGCACCCTAAGTGATGTGCTGGCTTTCTCTGTCCAGGGTAATCCTATCTCACAAAGACCAAATACCCCAAGGAATCCGCTCAAAATTACCAGGGGAGCCTCAGCATTAAATCTGTTCCATGAGTTCTAAACCAACATATTTTCACAGAAGGAGAACTCAACCCGGTTTTGTGACACCCTGTAAATTCAAGCTCAGGAAGGAGCACGAGCTGGGCTGTGCTGATACCTCTTTAGTTTTGTTATATAACCCACTGCTGCTGAGATTCAGCCAAGCCCACTCAACTACCTTCACACCATTTACGCATAGAGTTGTTATTAATTCTAATTTATAGTCCTGATGCTGTCATTAACTGTCACTCATATATAATCAATGGGACAACAGGCTGGGGCTGAGTTTGTTGTAAACATGAGCTCTTGACCCTTGTACATACACTAATATGCTCTACTGGTGTGCAATATGGAAACGTAATAGGAGCTGTAACTGTCTCTAGAATATAAACAAAAACAAAATGAAGAGAGTTATGCAACCCTTGAAGGATATTCCGGCTCATTAATCAAGTGAATGCAGACAGGACCTTTCGAACCAGGAAAGGTGAAGCACTCTTTCACATTGGATGGACAAGAATAATTAACCCTGAAGTAGTTGTAGAGAAGACTATTAAAAGGAGAATATGAAACAATTTTTAAAACTCTCAAGTTTGCCCTCAAAGGCAGAGACAGCTGCTCTAGATTTTGTTTAGTTTTTTGTGTTGCTCCTTTTAAGATTACATGCTGTTAGCATGTGATGGGCTTTCTTGGGATTTGGACGAATAAAGTCTGCTGATTACCAAATATTTATAAACACTTGGCCAGCACCAGACAATCAGAGGTTTTGTTCAACTATAATTACCCCATTACACTTATCCCTTATGTATTAATATGTGTGTAAGCCCTTAAGGTTCTGGACTTTAAAATAAAATCTTCAGAAATAAACCTGAAGCATGTGATACCAAGAGGTAAGTCTCCTAATATAAAGCCTGATTTGCTTAACCCCCTTTTATTGCTGCTCAAGTAAGCATGTGATTTGCACAGAACATTAATTTAAACGAACTGAAATGTCAGGCTGTACTATACATCCAGCCAGGCTGAGAAGTTCAACATGAAGAGGTTAATGCATCAATGTGGTCAATTATATCCTGGCAGCATTAGTTTTACAAAGCAATACTGATGAGGACACTATATAAATGTCCCACAATAAAAATGGCATTGGGTTTCAGAAACCAAATACTCACAAACCCCTGAATTAAACTGAAATTAATCGTGCCACAAAGCAGATGGATATCTTCAGTTAAAGACTAATTATTTACCTGTCCTTTCGATGTGGGTAGCTGGCTGGCAGCCAGCATTGTCTATGATGGCAAGCGACCTGAAAGTTCTTAAAATTATTTTTAATTTCAGAACTATAAAGAATAGTAGCATGGCTGGAAAAAAAATGGGGATATTAAATGCTTACACCATGTAAAAGTTATGCTACTTCGATTACAACAGTGCTGTGTGATCTCTGGCCTTACTTTAAGACACCAATAGTTATTTATGAAGAGAGAACAGCTATTTTTAATACTTCTCCAAGTGCCATGACTGCTGAAGGCAGCTCACTCTGTTAAGGACAGTTTTGCCCATGATGAAACAGTGAGTTATGGGCAGTATGTCTGTACTAGTAGGATTATGGAGTCAAACTCCTCCCTAGTGTGACTCCAGGGAAGAGTTCAGCTCACAATGTTTAAAATTGTTATTTGAGGACACAAGTTAAAGTGGCTGCAAAGTGCAAAGAGAGCACGAATCACTGAGCAACCTTTGCTCCAACTGTGCTACAGACACAGTGAGGGCATGATGGAGGAAAGGGAAGTGCTGTGAGGATCAAGGATTCATCATCCAAATCAAAGTCAGGCACCTGACTATATCAGGTTGTGGGTACAGGAGGATTTTGTTCAGTTTGCAGAGGAGTTTTCCAAAAACAACCTTTCTAATGAGACTTTCTCTTAGAGGAAAGTTAACTAAAAGCTCCACCTCTTACATGCTCCCCTGTGGGGACATTGTTTCCCCAGCCCATGGAGAGGCTGCCTTGCCATAACACCCTTCATTGCATACCTGCCATGTTGTTACCCATGGAGAGTTCTGGTGTTCCTCTGGAGCCCTCACTCTTTCTTTTACAATCCCCTTCCCCACTCCCAGCCCTATTCCTTTCTGCTATGGTATCTTCAGTCTCCAGAAGTGAACATGGGGCCCCAGGGAGACAACTCAGCCTGCAAATCTGTGCATTCCATGAAAAGAAACTTTTCAGAGTAGCAGGACAATCCTGTGGCCACTTCAGGAGGCTGCCAAGCTCGTGGCTGCCCCCAGGTGCAAGAGAACCTGTTGGTAAAATTACTGCACAAAACTGATGATGAACGCAGTGCTCTGGACATCCTGGGGAAGTAATTATTTCAGGAGCAATGCTGTGGACCTCTGCTTCCCCTGGAGGCCTTGAGGAGACCTTTGAACATCCTACCAAGCCATCCAGTCATTTGGATTCAAGGTCTTCAGTCCCCCAAAGACATTGTGGGAGTGTCCAACAGAGTAAGAGTTGCTTCCTCTTCTACTGCAATTTGCCTCAAGTTCCCCTAAAATACCCACAGGTACCATTTACTAAACATTTTCTGACTTTCTCCATATTTACAAGGGAGGAAGTCACCCGGGAAAAAACCTGTCCCTTAACATGGAAACACAGTTCTCACAATAAAAATGACTGCTCTTACAGCCTGAACCCCATCCCTCATACCAGCCACCAGTGCCTTTTGACAAACTGCTGATCCAAGATCCAATCTGCCCTTTGTATTTTGACTCTTGTGTTACAAATTTTAGCACAGTTCATAAGACTATTTTTTCTAAACCTAACGCATGCCAAATATCTTCAGCATGAACACCATTCCTGCTGGGGCTTTGGCTAATGCTTATTTTTAAAAATAGAGAAGTAGGTACAAGTTGATCAGGGACAAAACTGGACTTTAAACATGCTGAAAAAGCCAAGCTGGGCCAGAAACTAATTCTACTCTTAAGTAACTATATGAGCAAGCCCCCCCCCCAAAAAAAAATAAATTATTGCTAAGGTATTTGTAGATCATTTGGATTTAAGTTTCCCTACAGGTGTCTTCCTCTGCTGCTATGTTTTGACACTTATGTAAACACATAGACATTTGAGGTCATGCCTGTTCAGAGATCACGTTATGCAATATGATTTAAAACTTGAAAAATAAAAGAGAAATGAGAATAAGAAGCTTAGGACTGATGAAATTCAGGCATCTGGCAAACCAGTCTCCTCAGAGACTGCAGAGAAAAATGATGTAATGAAGATGACTTGAGAAACCTACAGTACAGGACAAACAAGGTTCACCACCTCTGTCAGATTTATTACTGAGCTCAAAGCCTTGCTGTATTATCAGACTGAGAAGTGTTATAGTTTCACAAAGTGTACTGCAAATGTTAACAGTTGGGGAAGAGGCAACCACAAAGGTGATGATTTGTCACTGTTTCCATAGTAACTTCTGCTATCAGGGCATCTGCAGTGACTTATTTCTGTTCTTCTGCTGCACTCAGAGAATCCCAGCCAAGAAGGAAACAAGTTTTCTTCCAAACCAGAAGCTGCACTGAGCTTTTAGGGCTCCCTGTATGCTCTAGGATGAAGACAGTTACACATCTAACACCTCCCTCCACCACTCCCAGACTTAAATCCAGAGCAATTTTCCTATCTAACACTCCCCGCTAGGCTTCCATAAAATCTCAGGCCCTGGCATGCCACCAAAGCTCGCCAAAGACACCACAAAGAGGGGGGTACTTACTCCCAGAACTCTGTGACAGGAGAGGTGAAGTTAGTGGCATTCAGTGATATCCAAAGTGTTTTGTTCTTCCTGAGAGTGTCTTCCACGCAGGTTGGCGTGTTCCACTTCTGGTGGCAGTGGGCCCATGGCAGGACGCTCTGGAACGACTGGAACAGGTAGTAGAGTCCCCAGGCCAGGATCACAATGTAGTACACATTCAGAAGGGACACAATCACTATGGAAGCATAACCAATTCCTGGCGAGAAGGAGAGAGAAAAGAAAAACATGCAGACGTGGACAGCTGCTTCTTCCTAGGGCACCTTGTGATCTCGTGGAGCTGCTGCTATTCCCACTGCATCATGGACTTGTATCCTGCTCTACCATACTCCTGATGGAAACTCAACTCAATCACACGTAAGCACTGACCCAGCACCATCTCTGTTACTCAAGGATGAGTTTCTGGCCATGTTTTGCTGACATTGAAGGGAGGTCTGCAGGATGTCTACCCAATGTAACACTAAACCAGCTATTTCAAGTTCTAGTAGAAGGAATTCAAGGCATCATGCTTTGCTCATCTGGGATTTACGCCATCTCACTTAGGTGCCTACGTGGGCAACCTTATTCTTGTCACACTGTCCCCCAAACAGCTTCCTTGGCAGCAGCTCAGCTGGGCAGCCCCTGCACTACTCAGTTATGTACTGGCTGGGCTCAGTCTGTGTGCAAAAAAACCCCCCAAAAACAAAGACAGTCCTTGAATGAGTTAACAAGGAAAATTTTGAAGGAATCAATGGGAAAGCCATTGTTTCTGCCCCAATTTCACTTGTGTAAAGGGAAGCATTGTATTTGTGGCTCTTAACTGGATCAATCTCTGCTTACAAAGTTCGCCACTTACAGGCAAAAAAAAAAGGATTTCCTTAAAAAACTTAGAGCAGTCTCTTACAAGAACCTATGAGGTTCCTTTTCACATCACTCTGACAGCTATTCCAGCACTTGGGATACCTGCCTCCTAGTTTACAGTTTAAAACCTTGTGGTAGCAGGAGTCTTTACCACCAGAGATTATTTTTATGCCAGGTGGAAACAAGCAAAGCAAGTGCTATTTATTCTGCACATTTGCATTTCCTTCAGGATATACAGCTAGTCACATTAGCTACACTTTCTCTTTATGGATGCCTGGGAGATTGCTATTTAAATAAGGAACATTCCCTCCTCTTAAAAAAAAAAAAAGGCTTCATAACAGTGGGAGGAGGAGGAATAAAATTAAGCTAAAGAAGCACAATTACATCAGCTTCAGCAGTGTTCTGACTACTAGGTGGGAGTGTGAGCCCCAGAGAAAACCTCCACTTCTGCCTGGGGTGAAATAAGGGGAGAGAGATGCCTGGAACAGCAACAGTGGCAGAACTAAAGATACACCAGTGCCCACTCTTTCCAAACGGGATTTGAACGGTGCCACATGTTTAGTGTAGTCACTCCAAAGGATTCTGCCTGTGCTGTCCGACTGCAAAGGGCAATCTACACATAAGATAGGCATCCTTGCTCATTCTTCTAATCTGTCTTTCATTTTTCATTCTAGTTTACTTCCAGAGTAGCCTCTGTATTGCTCCCGTGAGTGGTGAGTCAGGCAAAGGTCCTTTGGTAACAACACTCCTGTTTGCCAGGAGCTGCTCAGTTATGACTAAAGTCCTTTTCCAAAAATGCAGTCCAGGTTTTGGCTGCATCAGTAGCAGAGGGATGATGTCAATGATCAGCTTTCATATGGCAGGGGGATTTTGATTTCCAGACCAAAATAACATTTCAAAGACGGTTTCATTAATGCCATCCAGCTTTCCAAGGCAACACTTTCTCTGACACCTGTAAACAAAATGTGCAATTGCCTTTAAAAGGCATAATATGCAATTTCTTTCTTGCTTACCGGCAGTTCTGCCAGTTAACAACATGATAGCATCAAAATCAATATCTCACTTTGTCCTTCAGACTCTCTGACTTCTACCTTTCCAGGAACCAATATCATACCCTAAATTACAAGAGCAAATAACTGAATTAATGGACATGAGGGGAATGGTGTAGTTACATATGGTCTACATAGGTTCTTTAAGCAGCAAAGCACGATAAGATGTACTAACCAGTGAAAATAGGGCAGATCTTTTCCCAGCATGTAATTCCACCTTCAGAGGTATACTGTCCTAGCACCACCTCCAGGAAAAACACAGGAAGACCTCCCCCAAACAGGAAAATGAAATAAGGTATAAGAAATGCACCTGTTGAGAAAATACAATAGCACAAAGTTGAGATGAAGTGAGTGAACTTACAGAAGGTCATCTAAAAAGTGGGAACAGGCATATATAAACAAAGAAACATACTTGATACTTTATTACCATTATACAATAATTTTATTCTGGGGTATTTTTGCTCATATTCTCTGCAAAAAGAATGGGTATTTGTTGGAAAGGGCATTTTCTTACCTCTTTAAAGTGAAAATCTGCAATAACAATGGCAGATTGTTAGGCACCAAACGGTTTCACGTGGCTCAGAATGTTCTTACTCTGAAATCCCCTGGTCTGAAATCCTACTGGTCTATATTGATAGCCTATCTTTTGGTTAAAACTCAGACTCAGTTGCAGCAGAAAAGGTTCATTAGTACAATATTTTAAATTGCTGTTGTTTTTCCCTTATGAAGTTTTAATAAAAACTATCAAGTAATAAAACAATCTCTCCTGAAGACCGGTAAGGAAGGCAGAAACCAGGTGTACAAGTATTCTTACTAAAAACTGGATGAAGGCACAGAAAAACAGCAAGCACAAGGCAGACAGATTGATTCCTGAGACCAAAATAAATACTCACCTCCGCCATTTTTGTAGCAGAGATACGGAAACCGCCAGACATTGCCTAAACCAATAAATCCACCTGCCACGGACAGCAGAAAGTCAATCTTGCTCGCCCACTTCTCCCGCTGGGGCGGTTTCCCTTCTGCCTCATCCTCAGGCCGTGTTCCCGGGCTCTTGCCGGGGGAAGGTTTGAGGATGTCCTTGTGGAAATCTTTCAAGCACTGAAGCTTTTCCTTTGTTGCCATATTTCTGCTTTCTACACAGAAAAAGAAGAAAAAAAAAGGAGGGGTGTGTTTATTAAACAGTCTTTTCCAGCAGAGCTCTCTTAACACTGTGAGAACTGTTTAGACAAACTCATTCAAAAAAAAACAGTGTTGTTTATCAAGCTGATGTAGGAAAATACATCTGATGCCTTCACTGACCAGGAGAGACAAACCACCCCTGAATTCTGGGGTCACCTCTTTGCTGCCAATGAAGTGCAGAGGACAGCAAAGCTTTGACACCACTTGCTGCTGCAGGGAAAAGGTGTTCCAACACTGCCCACTGCAGAAGCATCAGTACAAAGAATTACTGAGCAAGTGTCTCATGCTACTTCCATGACCAAAGTAAGGTACAAATCACTGCATCTGATTCCTTCTCAAACATTTACATGAAATAAAGCAGAACAGTAAATCTCACCTTTCCAGATAAAACCCATTCTTCTATTTCCCAATAACCCAAGCGGTCCTGTATCATTTACTGCCTGCCATTTCCATTCCCTGAAGTACTATAAAGCTTTCAGAAAACTATACATTCATAAAAACTGGAATGGAAAGCCATTTGTTCCAATAATCCTGCAGGAACTGAAGGAATCTTTGCAGTTTATTCCACTTTCATAACTGCACTGTTTTCCCTTGACATCAATAAAGGGACAAAAACAAGCCTTTATATTCAATTATTGTGTTACACACACCTATGCAACTGAATAGTTTGCCAAGGATGATGACTCCTTAGTTAATTGAAAAGTCAGTGGCATGAGTCATACCAAATCATAGCTGGATTTATAATTTATATATGTAATTTATGATCAAAATAACAGAAAGAATTATTCTAACAAGTGCCTTTTTATGCAGGATTTTCTAATGAAAACAATTTAGGAATAACTTGTAGCTTTTATGTTAACTCAGATCTCAGACATACGAGGCCAATTCATTCCCCACATAACTCAAGTGACATTATCTGGATCTGACCAGTTACTTTTGCATAGTGTTTTATACTGAAATTTTCACCTGAACCAGGCAAACCAGCAAGTTTATTCCAGACCACAACCATTCCCTGCTTGTACATGTCATTAGGAGTGTACAGTCATAAAAAAATTGTGCTACAGATTATCCTGTTTGATAGCTGCAAGGTCCCTCGTACCTGCGTGCTGGTTTTGATCTCTAACCTGATTTATCTTGTGGCAGTGACCTGAAGCTTGAGTTGACATTAGCTCTGCAGGAAGTTTTTAATCCAGACATGATTCTGAGATAGATATGCATCATGGTGCTCGTAAATCTTTCCATCCACCACGGAAAGTTTCAGAAGGCTACACTGTCACATCCCACGGCAGCTCGATACTCGCCCCACTGGCATATTGGTGGCCTCTGCAAAGCAGGCAAATTGCCTATCAGGCCATGATCTATAAAGGGACTTTAATCTCCACAGTGTTAATCATTATGACTTTCTACTGGTTTTTAAACAAGGCCACTGGTGAGTGCACAGAGGTGACACGAGCATTGCAATACCTCGTGGTCAACAGCAGAGAGAGCTCACAGGAGGAGAAAGTGAATCCCAGGGAGATGGACCATCGCCACCCACTGCAGGGGGATGAGGGCAGGACACATATTCCTCTAAAATATCTCCTGTTGGTCACTGTTAGAGACATGGTATGAGATAAAGTAGTGCAGTAACTGAATAAAAATGGTAGGGCCAGCTCTATAACAGCCTTTAGTTGGGACTTAATTCACAATAGCTAACTTGAGTTGTAGTATCACGAATGGAGAGTAATGAAGGTGGCTCTGAGAGGAATTCACAGCAGCCTTAACCTCCCCAAGACATCTGCATCTCACTCCAAGCCCCACACAGGCACTACCCTGCATAATCCCCTGGAGTCATCTCTTGAGGGAGGAAAAAAAAAGCGTATGCAACTGCTTTTCTTCAAAGAGGTACCTACAAGGTGGCTGATGTCCTGCTCTCACTGCAACAGCTACCAGGCATGGAGAAAGCACAATTCCACTTCCTTTTGCTATTTGAATCCCTATCTTTCATCTTGGATGTCATAACCATCAGGCAACAGGCTATTCTGAGCTGAAGAATGGAGGGCATTCGGACCATCTCATGGAAGCTGTTCTTCATGGGGGTTGTTGAAACACTCATCAACAGGAGAAGAAAGTGTGTAAAAGAGAGAGTGTCTCACCTAGTGTTTAGTGTATACTCTTGTTTTACACACAACTTCTTGGTGAACTGCTGGGACAGCCCTAAACCTGCTTAACAGGGCACAGAGACATATAGATTCATAGATCTCTGTGGGATTAGGTTTGAAATAAGAGCTTAACTGCTCCCCATGGGGACTGATACTGGAAATACTCCGAAAGAGAACACTGGGAACACAGGCTCCCCTTATGTCAAAAAAACCTAAGGGGACCTACAGCATTAGCCACCTCAAAGATTAAAAACTCTTCAGGATTGCAATTTTTTGCAATCTACTTTTATCTTGTGACAGAGTTCTTTATTTTTCTGCCAGCTCTAATCCTCTTGCCTGCGGATTTACTTTGACCCAGGTGTTAGTTCTACCCAGAGTCTGCAAGGCTGACCAGTCGATTGCATTCTGTAAACCCTGACTCTCCCTGGGACAAGGTGATTGCCCTGTGGTTTGTCCCAATTACTTGCACACACAGAGTGAAATGCTGCCTTTCCAGACTCCTTCTTAGTAACCGAGTGGAACTGCATTTTAAAAAAGGGATTTGTAATTTGTCTCAAGATACCCCAAATTAATGGCTGTGCTTGAAAAACCTCATTAGTGAGCAATTAGTTTACCTTAGCTGGAGTGTGAAGATGGATCATGATCTTTCCCTTAGCCCAAGAGCACAAACCCTCACGGTTACAGTTGCTTTCTGGGGTGGCTGTTTCACCTTACGGGTGCCAGGAGATGGACCACCACAACTATGGTGGAAGTCACCAGCTCTCAATAGCGGGGCACAGCACAATATCCAATGCCTGCACAAAATTAGTAACAGCCCAGTTTACTGTGTTTAGACTTGCTAAAATCCCAATTGTGTTTCGAGGGCCGGCAGCTGTGGCTGGCAGGCACGTACCGTCCACCAGTACCACAGGGACCGTCGCTAAGCGGCCACCTGGGACTGTGGTCCCAGCCCATGTCACGTTCAAGGGATGTCGGATTTATCCCCCTTTGCTGCCAACCATTGGTGTCCACCCAGCCATTCCCAATTACAGGAACTGTCTACAAAGGCTGCAAGGGTGGGGGGTACAGGCGATTCTCCTTGGTGAAGAAAAGCCAAGAAAATCAAGTTTGTTTAGTGAAAGGCATTGTCTTTTTCCTTAATGGGGTTGGAGTTTCATTTCCTTTAGTTATGTCCCACTGGGTGAGGTTAAAATGGCTCTTGAAGGAAATAGTCTGACAGAGATGCTGAAACAATATGTTGTCACCGCCCAGGTCAGAACCAGAGAATAATAGGTTATTTTTACTGTATCACTTAGTGTGGATGGTATCCGAGATCTAAGTCCATCAGATTACCCCAAGGAAATATATTGTAAAAAAATGCTCTTACAACCAGAGAGTCCAAAAGGAGTGATGCAAGTCTGAGGCATATGTTTGCCTCCCAGAGACACACGTCTGCCTTCCAGGAGCCACATCTGCCTGTGAGAGTACCCCCTCCAGGAAGCTTCAGACGGCCCCAGGAAGCTCTGGCTTCATCTGATGAACTTAATATGGATAAACAGAAAGCAGCAGTCAAGCCTGCTATTTACAGTGTGCCAGGCTGAGCACAATCACACTGCAAGAGCCTGATCTGAAAGCAAGGGGAGAAAGGATACAGACTGGGCCAGGCCCAGAATCTGCTCTCACGTACACTGGTACAAACCCACGCTAGCAGAGGATGGAGTTACCGATTGTCAAACTGATGCTGGTAAAATATGGAAAAAACACAACAAGGGAGTCTGCATGGGTGCACTGTGCTTCTCAAGCATCTGCTCACCTGTGCTGCCAGGAGCACCTCAGGGGTGCCTCTCCTTCCACAGCAGAATCTGCGAGTGCCCCTTGCTCAAATTTCCTTAGATGAAATACCCTGCACTAACCCAAGCCCTTCTGCCACCCCCTATGACTGACCAGTCCTTGGTGCACAGCTGAAAATACCAAAAGACCAGCCATAAGTGGAGAGCTTTCACGGCCAAGTCGGCTTGGGGCATCCCCTGGGCTGCAGAAATCAGATCTTCACACGTACAGCCTACATCTCAAATAACCCATACCCTTTAGAAAAATATTGGCATTGAAATGTAATCCTTCATAACATGCAAAAAAATGAGGGGTAGGGGAAGGGGGAGGCACTGGACAGAGGGGTCAGACGGTGAGTGATGCAGGTGGGGAAAGGCACCAGCATGGCCAGGACCTGCTGGTTGTCAGAACAGACACAACTCACATTACTACTGAACCACTGATTTTTTTTGAGAGACAACTCACAGATTACACATCTGAAAATACACTGTGATCAGTTTCTGCTTTGGGATTACAGTAATGATCAGCTCCAAGCTTCTTACAGCCGGAGACAAGCGACCAACGCACGTCAAAACCTTCCAGGAAGAGCCTTGAGGATAAATCCATCATGGATACTACCTCATTTAATACTCTTTAAAAACTGAGTCTTCCAAACAGTGGTTTTCCAAATGTTGATGGAAATGGGAAAGTCAAAGTGTGCCTGTACACACAGATATACGTGTGTAAATATTTAGGCATGCTAAAATGCATGCCCTATCTTGCATCTGAACATCAGAAACCACAGCAAAGCAGACACTTCTCTTTTGGTCAGTTCATATAAACTTTGTCCAAAGATTCAACATACTGAAGTGGTGACTAGCATGCTAACTGAACATTTTTTTTTTCTAGCTTCTTCTGTTAGAAAACTAAAAGCACAATACATATCCAGAGTACCTCTGACCTTGATGGGAATGCTGCCTGAGGAATGTCCCTATGGCTGTCCTGTATGGACTATTTTTGCAGTG